GTTATCACAAATGTCATCATTTAGCAGATGTGATAGATCCTGATCGAAAGAGACTTCTTGTTCAGTCAAATGTAACCTGGGGTACAGTGAACGAGTTGCCCCATGACTCCGAACACTTGTTTGATTTTCTGAAGAATGTGCTGCTGAGGAAGCTCTATGACAAGTTTGCATTGCTCGCCACTGACGGTACAACTGCTTCTGAGTAACGATCCTTGTCGTCATTGTCATAAAAGGGTTGGAACTTGGAATTAAGTGAACGTGTATAGTATTTAATGGCAATTGTTAATTTTGTATAATATCTTTTGTTATGCTTGTAGAAATTACTCCTCTGTCTTATATCCAACAGCATGTTAAACATGAATATGTTCTGCAGTAGTATAAATCTTAGTGTTTGCGTGAGAATTTCTTCGATTGGTTCAATAAGATTATAAAACTTGACGCATTCACTTTATCATAGCTTTGTTGGCTTTGCTATTAATCTCGTTGCTGTAAATTGGCTCAAATTATTAGTGGCGATTCCGACTTCCGAGTTCGATCATTAATTGATAGCAAAGTGTTCATGTTTTATTTAAAGTTTGTGTGTAGCTCATTTTGAAGTCTACTCATCTGATACGTTAAATACGTCGTTATTAAATGATTTGACTTTGAATCACATAATATTTTAAATTTTCTTGGGAGTCAGTTCTTTTAATTTTGTTCCATATACATTTTGTAATCGAATTACCCATGTACAAATTTTAAGCAATAATTAATGATTGAATTAGTGACGATTTTGTATAATATTTTGTAGTTTTCATTGAAATCACTTTACAGTAATTTTCTTTTGTAGTCTTTTAAGATTTAAGAAACTAATTGATAAGATATATGCCGCATTCACGACAAGTGGATACTGTTTGTTACGAACCTGTATACTTCATCCTCGAGTAAAATACAGCTTTTAAGATCTTTTATCGTTATAACACTTTGTTTCATCATCACTCAGAATAAAGTGCCACGTGACCGTGTACCGTGTAGTTATCACAACCTCTTATAATATATATTTATATAACTTATAATGGGTACAATGAAAGTGTACCCTTTAGAGTGCGACTAATGTAAAATTTGTGGCTCTGACTGTGCCAGATTAGTCTAGATTACATTTTAGTTATGATTCCACTCGGCCCAATCTCTGTGCTCACTGACTAATTTTCTAGGAAATAATGTGGCACGTAATTCCATTGAGAACTCAGGAGATCTAGAACTACTCTTTTTTATCTCAGTCAGTGCAGTTATTTTAAAGTAACTCAATACCTTACGTAATTTCTAATATATTTAGTCTTTTAGAGCAGCTGCGTCTCACGGTGTTCTGTGTTGCCGCCGCATTTATTCTTATGTGAAATATACGAACCTTATTGATAATGACAGATACCCGCTTTTAATCTCTATTGAAGTACAGATTGGCTCCCATTCCTAATTGAATAACTTCCATTCTTGAATTCTAGTGGTCCTAAAATGTTGTGCTGCTCATGTTATGTAACTTGACGCAAAGTTCTAATCAGATATTTTAGCCTGCAGTTGGTGTCACTGTGTAGTATCACTGTGCTGTATCATTGTGCTGTATAAAGTTCGTGCTCACTTTACTAAAGATACGCTTCCAAAGTAGCTTTCAACATTTGAACTGTCAGTTTTGAAATAGAAATTCCAGATCCCAAGTCTAGCGATCTTTTCTTCGCTCAAAATGAATTATATTTTATAAGAAGATATGACCACTGCACACTCTGTGATGTGGCTTACTTCTGAAAAGGTAGCAGCTGGTGAAATGTTTACTGTACACCTTTTGTGGGCCACAATGTCGTTAATCTTTATAGTCTACAGGTCACTCTTCCCTCTATTTGTCTGCTTATATTAGATTAATATTTCCCTATGTTGAATGTTGAGCTGATGTTAACTGTATTAATGTATCTACATTTTGTCCTCGTTCCATAATTTTATTACTTTTCTTCCGTTCCATTACTTTTTAACTGTCTTCCAGTGAACCACAACGTATAACTTAGAAGGACACGAACGCTGGAAATATAGAACATGGTTTATAACACCAAAAGGCAGGATATATTGTCCTCTTTATCGTTCTCTTATCTGTTTTATTTTTTGCCGGCTGGAAAATCATTTAGCATCTAGCTTGTTGCGAGATGGATGAAGGGTAACGAATGGTAACCCTGGTATAGCCTTAGTCCATGTCAGTCGCAAACTGTTTTACATGATTGCCGTGATGCTTGGTTCAATTTTAAAGAGGCCTAATATATCAAATTAAATACGTTAATGCGGCATTGAAATCTCCAACGCCAAATATAAAACATTGCCGCGAGTTTGTTGGATAACAGTGAATAATTTAATAACTTACTTTAAAGTTACTGGACTGTAGCTTGGGCTGGGAACGCAACTGGACGGCAGTATCAAGTATAGCCTTTAAACAGCTTGGTAAGTATTTTATTATAAGTGACTGTTTGTCCTGAATCCTCTTGTAGGTCGCGTGTCGTAAAAAGAACTTGATCAATGTCAATATAGTTAGATTAGTTTATGGGGTTGATTTCTCTTAGGAGGTTTTATAACTTAGCCGCTGTCAATTCAAATGGTTACTCACAGTATGTATCAAAGTATAGGTTTAGAGCTCAGCCACCTAGAAAAAGAGAGAGAGAAGGCTGAAGAACCGGACATTGTCTTCGCCGTCTTCTTCAAAACTTCTGTTTCTTACTTTGTTTCACGCCACAAAATGTATATATTCGTGTATAGACAGCCCAATACTCAATAGCCCAATAGTTGTTAGCTCGTGATTAAAAGTAGTCACAGGAGCAGGATCCTCAATAATCTAAAGTTGTCAGTTCCCAACAAGTTCTCCTTTCTGTACGGTACGTAATTACCACTTTGATCACATCATGATCCCACGGTCGTTAATTAGATTAATTAGCCGAGCCCTCCGAATGTAAGATAAGTGGAGAGTTATCTATATTGATTGTTGCCAAGTTTTGGTGCACTGCACACCCAAACATGTTAAAACATGCCCAACCACGAATTGTCAATCTAGGCCATTCACTTAAAAACCCATACAATCAATATTTTCTCTATTTTATATGTTATAACTTGTCCTGGTTATCGATTTACAAAGTCAACTCTTCCAGGCGTCCGCCCTAAAATTATTATCTAGTGGCTGGTGCTTGAAAATAGAAATAGTGATTAGTAATGGTATTCGGAAATATCTAACCGCAATATAAACCTCTATTCATTCAAACGTTCGAATGTAAGCGCAGGCATGATCTTTGTGAAATTTTGTGTTGTAGGGTGTCCAATCCTCGTTTGGACAACTTAGACGCGCAGTTTTAACACATAGTTAATTGTAAACGGTACAAAGCACCCACTACAGGTAATCTATATCATTTGGTTGTCCAGTATATGATTTGGTTGTCAGGACACCTTGCAATCTGAACTGTTATGATACTGCGCGGCTGAGATCGTACACGTGTGTGTCCTGTTTCACTCATGTTATAAGTTTTTGTTTTTGTTTATTTGCTGTCGCCTGTGACACATTACGTACATGAGGCACTGTGGCCTGTTTGTAACTGTAATGTACGTTGGAATAATTTAATTAATTAATTAACTCTCTGCTATGGTAATGGTATTGTATGCAGTCATCGGTGAATAGACATCGGCAGTTTAGGGGGGGGGGGGGGGGGGGGGGGGGGGGGGAGCTTGGGGCGGCCCCCAAGCCCCCCTCCCCCAGTCGGTCGGACACCCAACAAAACTGCCATGCCAGCTCCCACGAGCCGTCCTCTGACTCTTCCGTATCGGTTTGTCGTACGAGATCTTGTAAGGAGTTGGATTTTCCGTTCCATTTGTTCCAGGGAATATTTGAGTCTAAGTTAAGTTTATCAAAATCTGAATGCACGATTTTCTTTCCATTAATATTATGTGTCATCCTTTAAAAGGTTTCCAATTCCTGTGGATACACAAACTACTTTAAAGGAGTTTGACATTCCGTCCCATTCGTTCCACGGAACAATATTTTACGAAAGTGGATTATCTTGAGATCCTACAATACGATTTTCTTCAAGTTCTCCAGACAGTAAGAACTAAGGCTAATAATCAGTGCAAGTTTGGACGAATTTTTATGCACCAATTAAGGTTAAATATCACTCCAAACACAAAAAGAATTGAAGTTTTCTAGACCTTAATGTTGGAGGGCGCGGTGACAATGCTGTATAAAAAGTTTTAATCTCTTACAACGTACCGCGTGGTTTATGTGAATGATATGATATTAATTGCGCGCTCATAAAAATTGCACGTGAACCATGTTCTGATCCGTTCCGTGTTTATTAATTTATTTATAAATCCACGATATATATGCAACATCTATTCTATTCAACTTTTAAATCACAAGATGTTATTGACCCTCATTAATATAAGGACAATATTTCTGTTAGGACAATATTTCTGTAGGGAAAATATTTCTGTAAGGAAAATATTTCTGTTAGGACTGTTCTAATTCATTACAACAGTCAATATGGTCCTTATTAAGTCTTGACAAACACGATCATAAATTCTGCTTGGAAAAGTTGATATATTGTGATTTGATTAAAAACAATTTCTGTTATCTTCTGATATATATCTGATATATATCTGATATATATCGGACAGGCGCTTGACAATGATACCAATAATACGATATGAGTAATGATGATTAACCGTCTAGCCTTTATTATTAACTAACAATGATACCAACACCATGAAGCATGCAGCGTATATTTAGTTGCCGTTATTCATCGAACTTCCACACTCCCAATGGCTGAGCTGCTAAATATAGCGGGCCACCATTCATCGGAAACTAAAGCAACTGTAACGATCCATTAGTTGCTGCAAATGCTCGCCAACCATTATTCAATCCCTCATTCTCTCGCAGTATTGTCACCGTTATAACTACAGTTCTCATTTCTCAACATTCATGTATAACCACAGTTGTAATTCCCCCTAGCTAGCTCTCATGAACCAAGACTCCTGAAGTGACCCTGAAGCGAGCTCTCTGACGCGCACCAGGATGCCTCAACTGACTGGTTAGTTTCATTGTTCTGTCTCCTCTCTATTTACCTGTTTACTCTCCCACTGTCTTTGTTGCCACTGTATTTAGGCTCGTTACCGTAGTTTGTATTGTATTTGTCAGCAGCTGTGTCTCCTTGTTCAGGACACACAAGGGGACAGAAGTGCTGGCCAGGTCAGGGACACTAATCTCTCTACCTGCCCTCTCTAATTAGTTTCTTGATACCTCATTTTCGCTTACTTTGTTTCAAATTGTGTGCGAAATTGTGGCTGACCAATCCTAGAGTGTGGGCTCCAGTTACATGAGCCCACGCTTATTACTCCAGAATCCAGATCATCCTAACACCTGAGGTGTGGTTTCTGAGTAACTTCAACGATAATAATTTTACTTTCTTTTTACTTTGCCATAGCTTTGAATAACAATTTATCAGCGTACCTGTAAATATTCGGGATTCCAATCCGTCCCTAAATGGTCAGCCAGGAATTTATCGATTTTCTCTGAAACGTTCCAATATGCTAAATTTCTCGTCGTGTGAGAAATTAAGATAAGAGGGTTGAAGAGGACACGCTTATCAGAAAATTGGTTAACGACCCAACAGATGATTGAATTCGTCACAAAATTTACTGAGCCGACAACAGTCAGTAGCTGTCATAACTTTCATCAGTTAAATTGAGTCTAGCTGTAACCGTTCTCAGCCACCGCAAACCACATCACCGCAGCACCATTCTCTCACTTTCACCGCTCTTTGCCCTTAATGCTTAAACAGACCCCGAGTCTCAATCCATCCGTTCTTATTGGCGACCATTCGCCTTCCCTCACATTTTATTCAGAATATCATTTCAACATGTGAAATGGTCTAATATATGTGTGATATAATTATGCTCCTTCTCACCCCTTCCTTTATCTCCTTCCCCTCATTTCTCTCTCTCTCTACAGCCGGCGGTTTAACCTTTGCTCCCCATCACATTTCCACCCTCGCAGTTAATGGGAGCCCCTCATTTCCTAAAAGTGTTTTTAATGCAAAAGTGTTTTAATGAGACTCGTACATCCGAAGTGTCATCGGGGTCCGTGTAAATGGAATGTCACGGCCCGTCGATATCCTGCATATGGCGTGTATCTAACTTACTTTACTTTACTTTATAATAATACTTCACTGCCTAGTGTCCCCCCGTTAATTTGTTCCATTAGCTGGTGTGTTGGAGGTTTGCGAGCTGTGAGCGGGTTTTAGAGCAGTGACATCACGACGGCTCCTAGCTATCCAAATAGGCATTATCAAATGAATTGATGATGTAAACATATCCACCCTTGTTTGAACTAGGGACTTGTATCCGCGGTACCTCATACCTATACTTGTTCGTTTACCTCGGAGTTTTATGAATTTTAAATCAAGTATTGTGCTGTTTGCAGACATACGGCTGCGGTTTATAGCTGAACGTTTAATCGATACTAATTGACGTTAATTTTGGGTCTGCTCTGCTCATTTGAGGGGAGAAAGATGATGTAACCGAAACACAAAAGAAGTGACATTATTGTATATCAAGTAATTGCCGTATTGTCGTGTGTAAATATCGATCATGTACTATAATGCTATAATTGCCCTAGCACTACCACATCTGAGGGCCCCATTTGTGCGATTTGCTGGCCGTATTGTTTGCCCTGTTCGGTATCACCTCCCCACCTTCAGTGCACCTACCGTGTTTTCATCGTTAACTCTGTCAATAACTACTCACCCTAAGTGCTCGTTTCACGCAAACTAATTCCGTGTTCACGAAACCAGATAAAGGGTACCAGTTATAACAGGGGTAGAACTGTTCGCTGCTAATCGCTTCTTCGTGTCCAAATTAAATTCGGGAATGAACTATGATAGTGGTTAAGCTGCTAGTAGGTTTAGAAGGCAGTTGATCGTCTGAACTCAGTTCCGCTGTGACCGTCCGTCGCTGCTGAGAACTGATATCTAATCTGGCATTTACAATCTGTGCAGTGCTGGTTAAGTCCGTTTTCTAATCCGTTGTTCATGCTCTAAATTTGTGTTTACTTAGTCCGGCCATCGTGGCTGGTCTAGAGTGTAGACTACGAGTAGTCTACTCTCTGTAACGTGAACTTTCCCTGAAGTGTGTACTTGTAGTACACTATGTACATTGTACACGGTAAACCACTTGAACTCTGGGCAGCGTATCTCGTGACCAATCCGTCTACAAATTCAATTAGAAGTGACTGAGTGTAATTACGGGGGATGTGGTGGGGCCAGCCAGCCAGCTCGCTCTACAGTATTTTTACATTGCCTCCTCTGAGAATGTGCTGCATGCAATCTCGCCAGCTCCTGCTTGATGAATTGAAGACGGATATGATTGGCGGGTAGAGGGTCACGTGCCCGAGCTGCTGGGTAGGGGGGTGCAGCGCGCTGTCCCTGACATTAATTACTGATTAACAGTGAGTGTGCATTGTTCTTCAGACCCCTCCGATATCGTTACTTCCTACTAGTCGTCGGCTTGTGAAACACACTGACACCCCCATTTGTTCTGAATTTTTCAAACCTGTCCCACGTTTGTTCCATACCTCTCCGGGGGATCTTATTACAATGTGTAGGTTTGTGTGTGTGTTAGTTTTACTGGTCGAGACATCACTCTAAAAGTATTAATTACCAACTCACCCCAACTTCACATGTACTCTAACTCACCACTAATTTTGTGTTTCACATCACAACATCGGTTCCCACTTTATAATTCATTACCTAGAACCTCAACATATTTTATCACGCGTGTTCTTGATACACATTCTCCAATCTCCATGTGTCTAGTTTGATATGCTGCTGTTTTGTCTGCGACTGGGCAGTGTGAAGAGAGTCCCTTTGTTTTGGTTACATATTATCGTCTCGATGACTTGAGTGTGGTAGTACCCTTGAAAGTAGTGTCAAGTATCTGTTGCCTCGCTCGTCTAATGCCCGCGCCACTTCTCTGCTTCTTTGTTTTATTGTATCTGCGCTGCTCCCGATAAGAGATTAAAATCTTTGATATTTCTCATGTTTAGATTTGCTGCCCGAGCTTTTGTTAACGAGGAAGAATGTTAAACCTCGTTCTTTTTTACAAGTGATGATTTGGCAAGAGAACGTGCTTTGTCGGCTTTGTTTTATTTGTTGGATCACACCATCAGTGCTTACGAAGGTTCGTACTCTGCAGCGAGCGTATGTCATGACTCATACACAACCGTCCCCGACCCCTGATTTGATCAAAATCAAAGGCGAATCGAATCTAATTTAACCGCAAGAGTTCTATGAGGACAGCCCTTCTTGACACACCAAACGCCGCTTTTCGTTGCTGTTGACCCCGTTTATTTAATAATAGGACGACACCCCATCTCGGGGGAGCGCACCGCAACCGCAAAATATCTACATTTAAATTGACGATACCTTCATCATACCTCAAAAAGTCCTTTATATATCTGGATATTAATCGTATTCTCCCTATGAAAAGATAGATGGAATTTGTCGGCTAAACATGATGAGACGTGACAGACGTTCCGGCACTACTCGGCGTCTAGGTAAGAAATACTTCTTCTTCTTTTACACCGACACGGTGTGAGTTTTACCAGCATATCATTTTGTATTTTCTATCACTCTCCGTTTCCGGATCCTCCGCAGGCAATTAGAGAATTAGCTCACTGTTTAGCATATTACTGCTAGATTTCCGCTTCCCAACGGCGGTGATATATTCTCTACCGACAAGCATAGGATGCAAGGGGAGGATGACAATCATTTCAAGTTTTAATAAACTCTATCCCCCCCCCCCATTCAATCTACGTCATGTGTATATTTTAAAAGCCCCTTCCATGATAATAGGATTCTCCCTGCCGACATTCTCTTCTCTCCAGCGGTAAAGATAGCTCATCCGTGTATAATATTCCTCAAGCGATGATGGCTTGCGTGGAGCGCCTTATTTGGTGTAATCACTATTCTGCGTGACCCAGCTTTATTATTACCAGTTGACCTGGCCTCTAGTTATATGCTCTATCCTCACACACATATTATTACCTGTTAGATAATGAAAAACTACAGACATTTCTCATTTTACTGGATATAATTAAATGGCGCTTTTATGGAACCAGGTTTTATGTTACGGTCACTTTATTTTCCTAATTTATTTCTTTATGAAGATAAATTCTCCTAATAAATATTCCTTATTTTCACGAATGTCTGATGATTGCAGGACTGAAGAGGGTATGGGTAGTAAGCAGTAGCCGCCTCTGTAGCCACCAGTAGCCGTCTCTGCGGCTATATGAGGGGAATACTAGCCGCCGCCAGTCAGGCTACGAGTGGGAGACGGTAGCCGTTACTCTAGGGACCCGCATAACTATAATCATATTCATCCGGAGCCGAGTGTGGCTTTTGTTCAACCTACCGTGACTCGTAATTAAACAGATATTACCATTGTTCTACTGTACGAATGTTTGTATACAATAGATTATGATGGGTGTCTTGTACTCAAGACTTCTGACACTTCCACCTCAATTCTGCTACTAAAAGTAATGAAGTAAGGGACGTATTATACATTTATATACTTATTAACATAGTGACGGAGCTCGTAATATTAAGAAATTATAATTATTCGTAGCAGACAGCCACACTTTTCTAGAAGTCTAGTTAGCCGGCACCATAAAATTATGAAGCAAGGTGCTTATATCCAATATCGAGTATCAGCACCAGCTTTGCTCACCACATTGAAGGTCTACAAATTTGTGTTCATTTCGAAGAAAGTTAAATGTTTTGAATTCAAAACTAGGTTAAGCGATCGATTATCTCATCGAATTTCGTTAAAGATACACAATAACTCGTCCAGACCCAGTCTGTAAAAGCTCCTAAAGTCTAGAAAAGATATTAGATTTACAATGTTGTACTTGTAAAAAGCGAGCTCGGGACTATGACTAGAACGCATCATCAGAATTCTGTGGTTTATCGAATATCAACGTATATACAGTGTACCTGTAATATTATGATCTCCCCCTCACAGAGGAATTATTCCA